CACTGGGGCGGAGCCCGAAAGGCCGATCAGAATAAAAACAACTTAGTTTTCCTATTTAATGCCCCAAGAATCGGTGTACCGAATTTCAGCCTCCTAGGTAAATGGGAAGTGGGAGAATTAGTGATGAGTGAGTGAGTCAGTTGGCTTTGCTTTTTCTCGTATAGATTCTGTCCATTTCAGCCTTAAAGAAACATATTTATCATATTATTCCACACAGAAAGTAGCTATTTTCGATAACAGCCAAGAAAATTATTGTTTCCTAAGCTCCAATTTAGGATCAGTGAAAACATAGCAGCCAGGGTACCAATCCTGCCACACTTACTGACACCACCATCATACAACCTCCTGCAACACACATACAGGGAGGAGCCCAGAAATTGTTAATGTATTTTGAAAGTCACATTGGTTAATTTAAAACAAGCTCCTGAGAGTTAAGGAATTCCACAGGGTGCCATGGGCCTTGTTTAACCTCTATTATGCTTTTCCTTATACCACTGTCTGGGTAGCCAAGCGGTCATCTTGCTCACCTTCAAATCTGAAGGGATCTGGGTTTGATTCCAAGCTAAATCGTTTCTAGACATAGATTACATTTTTTTAATTACTATACCTATCCATTAATAATGATTTGTACAAACGGTCGTTGTTCGGTTCGTTTTTAGATGGTAACAAAACCGGGTTTGGACTCTTCTCTTATAATCATTTCAACTATTTCAATGGCGCAGCGTAGTTAAAAACAAAATTAACCACAACAAAAGACTTTTATTACATCCATGTTGGTGGTGTTCTTACACTTTTATACAACATTCTTAAAAATGTCCGTGTCATTCAGAAACTTAATTCAATTTTAGCCATGGCATCCCAATGAAACGGAAGTAGAGGTCTTTTTGTATCTTTTTGGCAAATTTCCGATAAGAGAATTGCCTATTACTGTCTAGGTCACTTGGTAAGATACCTGCAACTGATTTAGTCTTTCGTTTTGATGTCCCTAGAGGCATAAAAACATCGGTTCAAATGTTTGGAATGTCACTTGTATAGAACAACTCACTGTCATGACCCATCACTGCCTGTTTAAATAACTATTCTTTTTATTTCAATTAATTTTACACAGTACACTAGTGGAACCACCTTCTCCGACCATGTAAGCATAGCAAATCCACAACATATTTCCTGAATGAGAGTGCTTACAAACACAGCCAGATAGTCCCGTTGTCTATCAGGCTTTGCTTTGTGCAAGCACTTATACTTAATATTTTATAGTATTGTCTTCCGGTATAAAACACATGTGTCATGTGATGTAGCCTACCTATAACGTCCAAATACCTAGTTTATGGATTCGAACATTTAACGTTGAACAATTAAACATAAAATATTCACAAAGATCCAAACTATATGCACTGGATGAACTGAAACATCGTAACTATTTCTTTAATGAAAATCCGTAAATAAGTCATTTTTACATGTGATTTTAACTGCTAAATAATAGTAAAAATTAGTTTTTACCCATCCATTGCAAGCTCTGATATGATAAGACACAGCCTTTGGAAACAAATTAGTTTTAGAATGTTGAGAGCTTTTACAACAGAGGCAAGTTCAATTCCGAACTATTACAATGCAATCCATATAGTCCGCCATCTTGAATATTGAAATTCAGGCTGCCGGTAGAACCCTTTAAATATATCTTGTGAATGTCAGTCACAACTCACATGTTGGTTTCCCAAGTGAGCATTTTTTTTATTAAATGTCTGTTTTATTTGGAAAGTTCCAACAGACAGTAATTTTTAAATTAAAAATAGAACGGGACTGAGAAACTAGTCTGAGAAATAACAACTAAGCTAAGAAATAAAAGAAAGTTTATTATAGAATTGTATTTATTAGTCTCAACATTGTTTCATCCATATCCTTGTTTACTACCTACAATATATTTTATTGTACATACATTTATGTACCCCCCTCCACAGCCTGCTTCAGCTGCAATCGTCAGTGATAACTCCAAATCATTTTCTTCTCCAAGATTCAGGGCCGTGTTGAGGGTCTGTGGAGTCCTGGGCAAACTGAAAAGCAGCGTCCGCTTTTTTCATAGTGTGGGCACTCCCAAACACCAGCGCCCATGGGCATACGCCCAGACTGCCTGTTTATTAAAGCGGGCCTGCCAAGATTGTAAAATTCCTCTGTACAAGTATCCTGCAAATTTTGGGGGTGACTTCTGGCTGACAAATTGATTAGGGGAAGAAGTGGCGAAAGTTGTAGTATACCTCAATGAGAATTGGGATAGTCATAAGAAAAAACGTACTAAGAAAAAACGAAGGCTCCATGATGGCAAAACTGCAAATAATAAGTAAAATATTGTTACCACAGTTACTTAAAATTCATTTAAATCAATATCTCTTTCATTTCCATACCAACATTATTACTACTTTATGGCATTATACCCGACTTACATTATTTGTAAGTTTAGTTTTGAGATCAAATCTTAAGTTGTAGTTAATTGTGTGATGATCATGTGATAAAATCACACAGCATTCATAAAAGATCGCTCACGTTACCATACTTAAACTGAAGAAATCCAGCTATAGGTCGGCCGCTTAAAAAATGACCTGCGCAAAGAAAAACTTCAAGTAAATGTTTGGTGATACACAACATGTTGTTGTTGTTTTTAAAAGTGCAGAGAACAGACAAAACTGAGTAGTTCATAGTTTGGCCACATTGGTATCGCCGTGATACAGCGATGCAAAGAGTGCACACAGCGTTACCGCAATACTATCGCTACGGTATCCCATTCGTCTCTGTATCGCGAATCGCGGTTCGCTCTGGTGTGTGCGGCTCCATAAGCCGCCATGGTATCGCACGGACCACTGGTATCGCAAGAGAATTTCCAAGAAAAATAATCGCGCCTGCTCCAGTATCGCGCAGAGGATCGCTCTGGTGTGTGCAGGGCTTAAGAAAGCACTGTTTTAGCAGTAAAGCGTAATCTTCTCTGATGAACACAGTTGGCTGTGCTAGGTTTGGAACGGAGGGAATATCTCTTCTTTCATATTTTTAGGAGTAGAATTTAATGAGTCTCTGGCTACGGTATGATTGGTCTCAAAAGCGAATTGTGTGTATGTTTTAGGACTAGTTTATGTTACGTTATTTAAATATGCTTAGCGTTATGTTATATTGTATTATTTCAAAATATGATATTTTTTTAAGAGATTGATTGGAGGATTGAGCCAGGACCTACTAATCCTAGGTTTGTTGTTGTTGACATTACTTACTGTATTACCATTTCATCTTAAATTCATTAAGAATTTTTATTCTGTAGTTGTAAAAAATATCCCAAGTAAAAATGAACAAAACAAACTTGAATACTACTTTCATACATACATTTTGATGCTAATTTACAAATGATGTAGGTCTGCATAAACATATTGTTTGCTCTTCTCATTGAAGTTGTACAGGATTGGAACTCAGCAGCTGACATAAGGCAGATTAATGCTGAGGTTTAAGCTGATATGTAAAATCTTTCTCACCAAAATTGTATGCATCATGGTGTTGGCTGCTTTTGACCACTGTACTCTATAGTTTGCCAGCCTTCAACTTGCTGAGGTCCTCGTCCTCCTTATTGACTGGCAGTGCATAGTGGTTGTTACATTCACGTTGCAAAAGATAACTTGATGAACTAGGACATCCTGAGGGGCACGGGAATGTGTGAGTTTATAAAACTAAGTAGAACAAATTACAAGTTTATAAATGCTTCCAAATGTAGCTGTTTCAACATACTGAATGAGGGCATTGCCTATGACAGATATGTCTAAGCACGTTATGAGTTTAAATCCATTTCCTCCATTCATAAGTAGGCGACAAAGATATGCCTATGCACGCTATTATCTACATTTCCTCCATTTCAGTGAACGGCAAAGCTTTTTATCAGCAAACCTGGAACAAACGTATGTGCTCACTGGTTCATAATTACACATTTTATATTCTTTAACAGTAAATAGTTAATTTCAAATCAGTTCATGATAAACAATATGTTTTAGACTAAACTAAAACATACCTCGTCTTGCAGTTCAAATAAATAGTGTCTTTTTCAATCCACTACATGTTTCGCCATGTTGGCATTTTCAAGTGGTACACAGAAACATTGAGACTTGAAACATTATAATATCCGAATTGGACTCGTCATATTGTAGAAATTTACATTTAAACACAAAACTGTACATACATTTTACACATGACATACAGTTTTGTGTTTAAATGTAAATTTCTACAATTTGACGAGTCCAATTCGGATATTATAATGTTTCAAGTCTCAATGTTTCTGTGTACCACTTGAAAATGCCAACATGGCGAAACATGTAGTGGATTGAAAAAGACACTATTTATTTGAACTGCAAGACAAGGTATGTTTTAGTTTAGTTTATACTAAGCAGTTCAGGGGCTACAAAATGGAATTTAATATGTTTTAGGTTTTACACGATGATCATTTCTTAAGCAACCCTGCTCGAAAGTGTCTTCTACGAAGAACCGTAGCCCAGCTAAAGACCTTGCTCTACTGGTAACGTAGTGCCAGCCGAGTCCAAACACAGGTTCTAGAAGATACACTCCAGGTATATATAGACTATCTATGTATATAATACGTGATCCAACCCAAACAACGTCAGATTGACGTTTTGGGTTCTTTTAGCCCATGGACTCGATTTTTTTAAGCTAGCTGAACTATATTCCTTGAAAAAATCTAACTAGCCAAATGGCTTTCCTTTAAAATATATCCTAATGGGATTAATAATAGTTATTAAATCTTTCTACTAATATGCAGTTTTACATTAAACAATTTTTTTTCATTGACTGAAAACGGAAACTATTGCAAATCTCATATGGGTAAATCCTACTGTTTTCCTCATCTTTTTTTGCATAATGTGAAACATTGTATCCAATCAAGTTTTTCAAAAACCGTATTTGTCTTTTATTTATTTAAGGGGAAATGTCATATTAAAATACATCATGTAAAAAATGCCATCACAATTTTATTTCATAAAGTTTATAATGTATAAAAAATGTTTGTGCTATATCACTCTCAAAGGTTACAGGGTTCAAATATTTTATATAAATAAATAAAAATAATATTGCATTAAGTTATTACCAATATTAGACACATTCTTAAATTAATAATATAGATAACAAATTGCAGCAAATTACAGCAAACTTATTCTTACAAAATTTATATAAAATTGTTAGGCACAAAACATTCAAAAAGTGTTCATTAATAAAACTTGAAATATCGCAAATATTAATTTATCTTTAAAACAATTTCTATAATTAAATAAAGAAATGCTTTAGCACCTAACGGCTCATTGCAGCATATACATAATGTTATTTACAACTTTTCTACAACCGAGAAATGTTATGTTAGAAAAATAACTTAATATAAAAAGCTATAAGGATAAAAGCATATAATATTAATAGTGTATCCATCTCCTTAGTGATTCTGCTTGCTAAGCGGACGACCTGACTCAGTATGTTCACTTTGTGCAAATTGTTCATTTAGAATTTTTGACTAGTAACTTTTAAAAAGCTGAAAATAGAAAGTTTTTATTACAAGATGAGTCAAGATCTGTCCAGGATTTTATAAGTGAGTTAAGCCGGTGGTCTGAAGGCTCCTACAAAAGACGTCAACCGAACTGCAGTCTTCACACAGTCCGTACATTAAGTTAAAAATTACCACTAACAGAACTAAACAACAGACAACATATTAAATTCTGAATAATGTACAAAATAAAACTATAGTATCTTAGCAATAATATCCTTAACAAAATCAGGACATGCGTCCACCAATAAATACACTTTCTTTGCTTAGGCTCTAGTCGATTTTTCCCGTTTACATAACACTCAACATTATAATTACCGTACTACATACAAATCGCTTATAAATATGAATGGGGAGTTAATTCAGACTTTTAATTTATATCGCAGTAACACTACTTTTGGAGTTTTCAATTCACAGTGTCGACCGTCGTAGGCGCTAAATCTTCGATTTTTAAACCGTTTACAGATTCAGCGTGGTCAGCAAATCCGTTCGTTGTAGTGACATCGGCTTCTTGGATCTGCATCGGTTTTTCTTCTTCCTTTTTCAACTCTTCGGGCTTCTTGATAGGAGGAGGTTTGATTTCGGATTTTTCGTTCTGCTTTGGGTCAGTCTTTTTTGCAACACCAGTTTTTGCAGTTGTGGATCTCCCGTTAAGAAGAGGTTTGGTGTTTGTAACCTGCTTAACACCATTCATTGTTCTTCCCGCTGGTGCAGTGCTTGGCCTTTTGGCAGCGAGAGGAGCGGGTTTGGGAGCCGTGGCTGATGGTGGTTTAGGCTTAGCAGTGGTTGCTGGTGAAAGTTTATTTGTTGCTGTTCTAGTGGGAGCCAAGGGTTTTGAGGTCGGGGCAGGTTTGGTCACTGGAGGTTTTGTCAGGGTAGTAGTAGTGGGTTTCTTAGGAACTTCAGTTTTTCTTGGGAGTGGTTTATGATCACCATTCGTCAAAGGCTTTTTCTCAGCTACTTTATCTGTTGCAGGTTTAGCAGCCAATGTTTTGTTGGTGAGAGGAGATTTCACTCCTGGCCTTGCAGGTGATTTTGTAGCATCGGACTTAACCGATGGAGCCTTGAGAGTAGTCGGTGTTGTAGGTTTGCTGTTTGGAGTTGAAGGCTTGCTCGTAGACCTTGTCGAGAGAGTGGATGAAGTTGATTTATTTATAGGTAGTTGTTTTGGAACTTGTTTCAAAGTGGTTGTCGTGGGTTTTGAAGAAATGGATGAGGTTGGCTTGGTTGCAGGTGGTTTAGGGGCAGAAGCAGTGGTTGGTTTCTTGGCCATGGTGCTAGGAGCAGATGGTTTGGCCGGGGCTAGTTTGCTTGCTGCTGGTTTAGGACCAGCAGCAGTCGTTTTTGTTGTCGCCGTTGTCGTTTTCATCCCTGCTGATTTGGCTGGAGGAGCAGCTTTTGCCGTGGCTGATTTCACTTGAGATTTAGCTGTTGTATCTGGTTTCTTGGCACCAACAGCTGGTTTCTTAGAAGTTACTTCTTTTGTCTTGTTAGCCACCTTCTCAGCAACAATGGCACTTCCAGCAGCTACTGCTCCTGAAACAAGGCAGTACAGTAAAGAAACTGGCAGGATCAACTGTCTTAAGAGGTGGCAGGACCACCGACCATCTTGGATTTTCTTCCCATATCGGCAATGTTAATGGTTAAAGCTTATTACAGCATTGTTTATTAAGATCAAAAGTTGCAAAATATCTCATATTAAAGCTATTGAAAACAAGGATGAATTTTAAATGGTTATTATGTTGTATAGCTACATAAATATATTGACCAATCCACACCGAAAATATATTTAAGAATCATACACAATTTTCTGCCCAAGCTTACGGTGCATGATTAATAAATGTGAACACATTTTTTTGCTGAACGGCGCTATGACAACCACTGTTTAGCCTGGCATCTGACGGACAACAACAATGCAAAATGATTGCCTCCCGCGTGCTCTCAATACTTAATGCGTGGTAACTGTTTAGAATTTAGATATTGTATGAGAATAAAGATATTCAAAATTGAAATTAAATTAGTTTGGCTGAAAGGTAGCATATTATGGGGTGCCAGTCCTAAACAAGACATGATTTTGAGATAAACATAATTCTTTAAGATTGGTTTAAGGGACAGTGCTTTTTAAAAAGGTGAAAATAATCCAAAAATCATATAATGGTTATTTTTGGGTTCTACAGTAAACCCCCTTTTGACCGCGCACCCATTTAAAAAATTGAGTTAATCAAAACCAGGGTAAAAAAGTATGTCAAATGATAAACTAGGCAACTGGAAGTGTGTTCATGGCTAAAGGAGAGTGGTTCATAGAGATAAAAATTCACAAAACAACTTTTTATTATTTAAAGAAATAGATTTTATAGTTTAAGTTGTGCAGTAAGTGAAATTACATAAAAAACTTCTGTTTTAGATCTCTTTTAAACCAAAATAGCTTTTAAATTCCTACCACTTCTCCAGATAAAAGTTTGAAGATATATGTAAAGTTAATTAAAATCATTTATTAAGTATTGCCAAGTGGCAGTCGTGATAAAAAAAAATTAATCATGTATAAACATATTCAATTAATAAACTGTCATCGCATTAAAGTAAGAATCGGTTTTTAAAATCTGGCTGAGGTTGAAGATCTGAATTGTTAGACGATTTCTGAAATTTAATTGCAATGCATGCCCCGAACCCTAAATTTCCCAGGAAAGCTAACTGAATTCTGTCTATTAAAAAAAAACCTCTTTCATGAGCCATATGGCTTTTCTTTAATTAAAATAAATAATAATAATATTTACCTGCAGCAGCCACAGCAGCTACCAAAATATCAGTTTTTGGTGTGTCCTGAGCCTCCTTACTGTCGTCCAGTTCCGGGGCAGGAGTGGGGGGAGGTGTTCCGGCTGATGATGGCACTTCCGTTGTTGGAACTTCGCTCGTCTCTTCCAAATTCGTGATCAGGGTTTCTGTCACAACCGTGCTCTGAACTGGCTCGCTTTTCACAGCTGGTTCTACAATAATCGGCAATTCTGACTCGACAGCAGTTGCTTCATCTTTTTCAATCACCTCTTTTTCCTCGGTAGGAGGTGCACTTTCTGTAAGTGCTGATACTTCTGGTGCAAATACATCTAAAACAGAATCTTTAGCCATTTCCTCTTCTCCTGTTACATAGCTCTCAGATTTAGTGATTTGAGGTTCGTTTGCTGGTGTGAGTGTTTGGTAAGAGACAGTCTTTGTAGCTTCGGTTTCAACAATCTGAGGATGGGGTTCCAGAGGTGAAGAAAGCTCATGAACGTTTTGTGATTGAATGACATTTTCATCGAGTGCAGAATTGAACTGGTCGACTGTGCTGAAAAAGTCATTTGAATTGTTTTGTAGGTCAACTGGGAGCTCTTGTCTCTCAGCATTCTGCTCAGTAGGAGTAATAATCTCTTGTGGTTGGGTCAGTTCATCTTTGTTTATGACTTCAAACCCTTCATCTACATTATTTAATTCTTCTGGTGTTGTTTGAGAATTGGTGATGCGAGATTCTAATTCTAATTCCATCTCCTTAGTTTCAACATCAGTGTTAAACTCTTTGCTTGGTTCTAGCAACTCATGTGTGGATTCAATTTCTTTTCCATCAAGTTTGATGTCATCAAATGCTGCAAGTACTTGATCGACTGCTTTTGGACTGATAGGACTGATAACTGCAGAGTTGTCTTCAACAAGGTCACTACTTATGTTCAGTTCCTTGTCCAGTTTGGAACTTTGTTCACACTCCTGCTCATCCTGAGTGATTTTAGATTCAGTGGCCAAAAACCCTTCAAAGTCACTATCTGATAATGGTTTCGCCAAGGCAAAACTTGTTTCTTCTGATCCAGGGTTTGATAAATCAGAGAATAGGTTCTGTGTGATATCATTGACGTTTGTTTTGTAATTGGTCGTTTCTGATGTAGCGGGAGATATGTTTTCAAATACACTTGGAATTTCCGGTGTCTTTGGTAGTTCTGTTGCCAAAAAGGAACTGTCTGCATTTGGAGCTGGGGTAAAATTGGGGATATCTTTTGGAGATTCAAGTTGATCGAATGGAACAATATTAGCAGAATCTGAATCGCACCGAGGAGAGACAAAAGATGATGGGATGTTCTGCATAAAATCAAATTCATCGCCATGTTTCTCTGCTTCAACATCTTTTTTAGGGGTTTCGAGCGGTGTATCTACAGGTACCTCAAACTGTTGGGAAGAATCAGGGTTAAAAAAGGGATTTGTGTTACTGACAGTTTCAATCGGTTTGAAGCTCATGTCTGTTGGGGATCTTCGGTGTTCATTAACAAATCCTTCACTGTTGACTACGTCGTCAGCTCCACTTTCAGATTCAAATCCAGACGAGCTAGTCCTCTCTTGTGCAGAAATCAACCCTTCTTGAGGTCCATCTCCAGGTGAAATGAGATCAGGTGACTTTTGTGTATCAATGACGAAGTCATCTGCAGGAGAATCTAGGTCGGTTTGATGTATTTTTGAAGGAATCTCATCAGTGGTCGGAGAAGTTGGAGCTTCAACAGTCGTGGACCTTGGTGTTCCAGGAACTTGAAACTCTTCTGCATCCGCAGACAATGGAAGGTCATTTCCCATGAAAGAAGCAGTCATTGGGTCGCGATTGCTGAAGATGTTTGTAGATTCAAAGGCATTATTGCTGAAATCATTGTTCATACCGAAAATGTTAGCTTTTTCCAGAACTGCCGATGAAACTTTCTCTTCCATTTTTTGCAGAGCAGCAAATTTGTCAAATGGAGCGCTCTCCTGAATGTTATCTCCAAAATTTACAATGGTTTCGCTTGCCAGTTCAGAGCTTATTGGCAGAGGGTTGACTTCTTCGATCTTGTCCAGAAGGACTGAAAAGTTGTCTAAACAATTTTCTCCAAGACTTGGCCCATCTGAAAGTAAATTAAATATATTAAAACCGGTACAGCATACTCCTCATTATCCAAAAGCAAAAGCAGTCAGAATATCCGTGATCACTCAATAGAAAAAGTTTATAAAAAAAATTTTTGAAAAAATTGAATGATAGTAAATACTTTTACTTGGAAAACAACTTAAAACACAAACTTAAATCACAAATAAACGTTATAATGTATTAAACATACAGCTAGTGTTACTTTATACAGGTATTGAGAATTGACAGTGTGTGCTTGAGGAGCATGTGGTTGGTAATGGACTTGGCCAGCAAAGTGGTTGCTTGGTTACATAGCACATCAAGCACCTCCTTGACGAGTAACTACACTGTTGCCACCATTGTCCATGTCGAGCTAGTTTCCAGACAGTAAACCATTTTGGAAATCAAGTGGTTTGTGGTTCTATATTTTTTAATTCCTAAACTAAATTCAACAGGATAGCTGGTCATTGCTGGGCAGAATTATTGAATCCCCCCGCGTGCAAGATTATGTAAGTGATACATTCTTGACCACAAGAAATATATCTGACGCTAACATTCATCGCCAGATGATTGAAGTTTATGACCTTAAGGCAATAATAGAGAGTAAAGTACACAAATGGGCTAGGGAGTTTTAAAATGGCTTTGGAAATGTTCATTTTGAAAGGAATTGTGTTTTTGGTGGAGACTACTCACAGAAGACCACAAAGGTAAAAGGTTTTCATTTTTACATCCCAATCCAATTTGGCACACTACCCTCACTAATTGCATTAGGGCCAAAACCTTCAGTCTTCTGGCAATGGATATTGGATTCAGATATACTTCTTGTATTAAAAAAAAAACATTTCATTGACCTTATCTTGCTTGTGGTGGAAAATTTAATTTAAAGCATTTTAAAAACAAACTGCAAGCGTAATTGTCAGCAACAGAGCTGTAAATGGTGTCATTATGTTTACAAATAATGCAAGTAAGCGGGGAGGCGCCTTGTTGTGGCGTACACACAAACTACAGAGCTATACACAAAAATGGCCCCTGCATTAAGCAAATATATGGGGACAAAACTATTAATAAACGTTTTTGAGTTGAATACTATTGTAGACCAGCAAGATTCTAAATTCAGAAAAGATATATAACAGACGTTGGCAGGTTACTAAAATGAACACCCAACTTTTTTATTAACCCAACAAAAGACTCAGTGATAGCATCTTGGGCTTAAAAGCACCGGCATATCAATAAGGCCTGGTAGTTGAAGTTTACTAGAAACCGAAATAAAATAAAGTTTTTCAACTCTCTCTTAATCATCTTTTAAATCTTGCACTGCCACAATAATTCTATTGCTAACCATTATTAACCACAATACACAATACTAACTAGGACATCCAAGGCTACTGGGCCTCTGGGAGATTTCACTATTGAACTCAAACTCTGGTGGCAACGGTACGTTGTCCAGAGTCTTCTCGAAGCCGCGTGCCGGAGACGAGGCGAGGATTGGCGATGATGGGGCGTCTATGAGCCGCTTGGGAGAAACGGGAACAAACTCAGCTGCGTCTGGATTCAGTTGAGAGTTCATGTCTTCCTCTTCCTGCTGTAAATATTCACAAATCATTTAACATGTATCAGAATCTGAATCAGAAAAGCTTTATTCAAGATTTATACATTATATACATGAAATATATGCATAAATACAGAATGGCGTCAAAACAGCTTACTAATTAAAAATACTTGGTTAAACTAAATAAAACAGGAAAATTTAATTAATGTAATTACATGTTGTAAAACTCTTCAAATGAGTAAAATGCTCTACCAATTAGTAACAATTTAAGTTTTTTTTTTTTAAAGACCTAATGTTTTTTATATCAAATATTTCTTTTGGTAGATGATATTGGGTGCGCCAAAATAACCTGACAGTTTTTAATACTAAATAACTCAAGAACAAAATACAATTTTATATATTAAATAATGTTATATTTTACACACTACTATGCCATTTTCACTTATGAAAAATTATATCACTTAGGTGATGTCCTTCTCCTAAACGCAGGCTTTCAATTTTCTTGCATATTTGTAGTCACCTTCGCCTGATGAATAGAAACAATCTCTTCCCGGATACACTGCTTGTTCAGGGATAGTACGAAATTTCGAAACAACCACTTTGCTTTTTAAGTATTCCCATAGCCAACAGTCACACAAAATTAAGTCTGGGGATCGAGCTGACCACAGCACATCACCAAACCAAGAGATCACTTTACCGGGAAAGACTTCACGCGAAACTGTCGTTGAATAATTGGCTGTATGACAAGTTGCGCTGTCCTGTTGAAACCATGTTTTGGTAATGTCTATCGCTCCTAACATTCACAGTTGTGGAACCAAAAACCCCCTCAGTATTTCCACATAGCGTTCCGAGTTTACAGTGATAGGGGGTGTTCCCACTTTCATCCTCAAAAACATATGGTCCGATGACTCCAAACCGTGCCACACCAGTGTGGTGTCTAGTGTAGACAGTAACTTTCTTTCGACTAAGTGATGTTTCACCAAACATATACTATAAATACCTAAAAATGGCATAACATAAGCAATCGTTCACTACAACAATGAGGTATCTAGCTAGTATAACAACTGACTTATTACAAAACAAAAACCGTCAGGTTTTTTTGGCGCACCCTTTACAAAAACATAATACCTGCAGCTGTTGGTTTCTTGTTATAAAACTCCAGTTTGTGTTTTGTTACGGATGGATAATTTTTATGCCTAGTATTATATCTATGATTATCCCCCAGCAGTGGCACCTTGTCTTCAGAAGCCCTCACATGCATAATAGTGTGCAATATATATGAACTGTAAATGGTTAGAATTTTTAATTTTGGAAAAAATTTTTTGGCCGATTCTTCACCTTTGTATTTCATCCACCTTTGATTTATATTTCAAACAAGTTGTATAACTAATTATGATTTTGAGAAAATCATTACACTCAAAAATGGACATTTGTTCAAACCATTAAAATTTTGCAAGATCCATGCCAGATCAAAGGTTTATTGTCGGGACCACGTAAGTTTGCAGTTGGTGGCAGCCAATCACAAGACAAGGCTAGTGCAATGTTGCCACATCGCACTAATAAAATATACTAAGCAATATTTTCAAATCAGCTGGTATTATTAGATTTGGCAACACCGCACGGTTCTCATTGGTTCATTCAAACCCATATGGTAAATAGGCTCCTCTCTCAACTGCAAACTTATGTGGTCCCGACAATAAGCATAGTCCTTAGCATAAATGGAGTAAAATGGGGAATATCTTTTGGAGATTCATGTTAATCAAAGGAAACAACGTCAGCAAAATCGAAATCATACCGTGGAGATATAAAAGATGACGGACGTTATTTCAATAAAATCAAATTAAATTCATCTCCATGCTTCTTAGCTTCAAAATCATAACAGGAACTGTAAACTGGCGAGGAGTCTATATTTCTGAACACAATGCACAAGGAGGTGAAACGCCCAACCACTGTAAAATCTAATAGTGCTTTCAACACATCCAGAGATTTAAACTGTCTGTGTTTAGCATGTATTGGTTCAGTTTGTTAAGCTGATGAAGACTGCAGCTGAGAATAAATTTGCCATAGATGGTTTGGATGTTAAGCTATTCAAAGGGTAAACGAAAATATACACAATGATGACTATATCGTCATTCTCAATTTTTTTTTCTGTATGGAAAGCACTCAACACCCTCAGAGGAACCTTGAAACATGACCAATTCATATATAATATCACCAACCTGGATGCTCAAAGTTAAAAGGGTGAGGCCTCGGGTACGATACGAGCGGCGAGCGGTAACCTTAGCAGCACGTTAGCGGCAGTGGTGGCTACGATACGAGCGGCACATTTATAACGCTCATCAAATTTCTCCAGTTTTATGAGTCAGTTTAGTTGAAAATTGTAAACTATGCTTACCTGCAAGACGTATTGCAACTATTGTTGCTATCTGACAATTGGTTGCCTTTAAAGAAAAACTTAGTTTTTAAAAAAACCTTAGCCCTTACTTGTCCCCATACTTTTCTGGTGACTGAAGTGTTTTAAAACTTCTGTGCTGGTCATTCCACAAACATTCATTGAACTGCACCTCACGTATCGACCCGTATCGCATGTTTACTACTGTTCCCCTCTCATTTTAGGCCGAAATGCAGCATGACTCGCCTGAGCCGCGAGCGGCGTTTTCGCAAAAATCGGTTTTGACTTGGAACCATGAGTGGCGCTGAGCGGTGCCGCTTACCGCCGCTCACCGCTCGTATCGTACCCGGGGCCTGAGAGGTTGGGTACAAAAGGAAGCTGTACTCTGGAGAGCTGAGGAGCTTATAACTTGAATAATAATGGTTTAGTTTACCTCTGTCAATATGGTCCTTGCGTGTAGTTTGTCACTACTGCAGTTTCGTGCTCGTGGAGCACATCATCAGGTGAAGGTCAAAAAGTTAAAACATTTTCCTCACGTGAAGGTCGTCAATTCAAACACACCGAAAAACATATACACACGAACGGTACGATAAAAACATTTATAAACATGGCCAATACATTAAAAACGTTACACACGGGGTCCGGCGCCGGTAGAAGACAAGACTTGTTTTTATCGTACCGTTCGTGTGTATATGTTTTTCGGTGTGTTTGAATTGACGACCTTCACGTGAGGAAAATGTTTTAACTTTTTGACCTTCACCTGATGATGTGCTCCACGAGCACGAAACTGCAGTAGTGACAAACTACACGCAAGGACCATATTGACAGAGGTAAACTAAACCATTATTATTGTTGCTGTATGGTCCAGAGGCTACCCATCATGAAATTATAACTTGAGTTGTTGCATTGACTATTGGATACTAAAGTAGACATCCCATCTATCTGGACCAGCTGTTGCCAATTAAAAAAAGATATTATTTGTGTGAGCCAGTCACAGAATGCGTTAGTGTCTAATGTTCAATTTTCTACCTTATATGTTGTTGTTGATAAGTTGATGGGTCATAACAGTTGCTACAGCTCACAATTACTCATTCCATTAGTTTAACTTGATGAAAAAGTTAGAGTATCCGACAGAGATGAGCAATTTAGATTAGCACTATCTGTTAGTGGCTGACATGAACTACGATTTTGAAAAAAAAAATTGTGACAACTTTAAAATGGGGATGGAATGTCTAGTTGTATTAATAGTCAAAGGTTGTAGCTTATTTCATTACTATTCTGTTACACGGAATACGCAACATTTTCCCTGTTACGTCCACCAAACAAGGTCAGGTTAGGCCTAACGTAACTTAACCTGATGAGGTCGGTTTGACAGAATGGTTCCCTTATTCTTTTCACATCCCTACCTTAGACAAAGCAGAGGCCTGGTTGTCTGTGTCTTCTCCAGGGATGTAGTTCCACTCTTCTTCACTCTCCTCCCCTCCACTCTCTGCTAGGTTGTCTCCACTAGCATCCCTCGCCACTGCAACACCACAACAACATTACACACTGGCTGGGTTATAGAGTACTGTATTGGGGTTTTCACATTTAAGAGACTCGCTAATACAACTAAATGGGACCAATTTCTTTTCAACATCAATTGCCCTGCTGATCCATCACTAGAATCTTCAACGTTCTCGGCATTATTCCTTACATCACCAACAGAAGATTGATATTGCCACCTTCAACAACGTTTGCGGTGACTTTGAAATACAGTATTATGCGCCAACATGCAATATAACCGTAATAAAGTCTTTTTATACCTTTTAAACCATTTATTTAGTGTTTTATGAAAAAACGCATAGGTTAACCGTGCTTGAGTTATACTTTTTAGCTATTATTACATTCTGATAATCTACAGTGAAAACATAAACTTGTTAAGTGAGTTTGGACATGATTAAACTTGACTCTAAAACGTTTTAAATGCAAAACAATCCATTATTACAGTAGAGTCCCGCAAACTCGGCGTGATGTGGACTTGAAGGGTGGCGAGTTTGTGAAATGCCGAGTTATGGGGAACTACCGTAGGGTTAAAAATAAGAACAATACAATTTTTAAGCTATTTGTCTGCCTTTTTTTATTTATATTAATATTACAAGTCATATAGTACAACAAATCCTTGGTACGAGTTGTGAATTATTTGACTTGAGCTGGCTTAAGTCAATGTTTAACTTGGACTCAAAAAATCACTAATTTTTTGTGCCAGGTGATCCGAGTGTGATTTTGTGCCGAGTTATCCAGACTGCCGGATTATCGAGTGCCGAGTTTACGGGACACTACTGTATTAATAAAACTGATACTCTCTGTGAAGTAATGTTGCTAGTTTTTTTTTTTCTAAACGGGTTGAGTCCATGCATACTTTTAAAAAAGAATACTTTTAACTTCAAAGAGAGAAAACTTTTCATCCATCATACTAGAGTGGGGTGTGCTGGTATTCACTTTAATCTTACCCCATAAAATGAGTGGGGAGAATTTTATTCGATTCCATTGTTAATTAGAACCACTTGCCCTTTTCTGGCAGCTTACTTGACACAGGAATGCTTTCTGGAACAGGGAAATAAACTCCCCTTTTCCTCCAATAAAAGGGAAACATGGAATATTAATGTTTGTATAGAGGTGTGGTAACATTTTAAACATTGTTTTAGGATCTAGAGCTACATTTAGGGTATATTACTTAAAAAAATGACTGATACTGGAAGTGTTTCATTTTACCTATGCCTCATATTGGATCCAGTTTGAAAGTTCTCAATGCATCCTTCTAAATCAACTATCCTCATTCTAAAAATATCAATTTGTCATAATAATGAAAAATTTATAAAAAAATATTAGTGTAAATGATTTTAATTATTGGTCATAAATATTCTATTGTGCTTCTTGTAACTTAAGAATTAATTAAACTTATAGATATAAAATGCTTTAGAGCATAGACTTAATTTTTTTATTTTAATCACTATTTAAATCACTACCATAGCTAATGAAAGTTAAAAACCAAAACTGTTTAAATAACTGAAAAAAAATAGTAATTTTTTTTCTGAGTGTGTTGATTTAAAAGTAACAACTAACAACTGATTCCAAAATGTTCCATAGAATGAATAGAAAGAATTTTAAATTTTCTCTGTCAATTTAGTGAATTTTTTCCGATATACATATTTAGATTAGGCATGTTTATAATACCCGTTAGGAAATTGAGGACTTTTAGTAGGCACACACTGACCAGGTACATTAGACTATTGATACTTCAAAGATTGGTGGGTCAAATAAACAAATTTGAATTTTTAAGAGTATTCAGCTTAGAAAAGGCTTTATTTATCCAAAAAAGTTATAATCCACAATTTTGTTCTTTTTTAAATTGTAGACAACGTACTCAAAGGGATTTGAAACACTTTTACTACTTCTTACTTCACTGTACTACGTTTAGCCGGTCATGGTTCCATACAACAAACACAATCTCAACAGATTCTCTACAGGCTGAGCTTTTATTTAGAATTGTTGATAGTTTTTATCCATCGAATGTTTGAATGACCAAGAATACTTGAGTAGACTTAAGTTACATTTCCTGACCCCACATTAACCCACATGTAGCGAGTGTCCTTGCCTCCGAACGCCCATACAGTCCGACCTACACTTTGCATACAGGATTGACACCTGCTTGTATACCAATAAGACTAACCGGTCATCAGCCAACAGACTACTGATCCTGCGTAGGTACTTGTAATGCTAGGGTAGAGTATACAAATTTCAGTCCATTTAGTTTTCAATCTTATCAATAAATCAAACTGTAAATTGGTCAGAAGCAATACAAGCCTACAGATCAACAAGTAGTGGTGGGCCGGGGTGATACAAATACTCCAGTTGTTTGTTACAAATTGGAATTACAATTTTAACTATACTTAATCCTGAATATCACGTTGAACGAACTAAGAAAATCATATCCAAACACAATCAAAATAATATAAACTCAAAACAAGCCAGAATGTTTATACTTTGATTGAACTTTATACAAAAATAGTCTTTAATATGTCATAGACCTTTTGGTACAGTCATATTCTAGTTTAGTGCTTCAATATTACTCAGTATTAAGTATTTTATTATTCAGTATTAAGTTTATGAGGAGTATTTTCTTTGCTGCTATCTCTGAAGACGGTAAACAAATGAAACTAAAAGAATGTTTCTTCTTTCATAGCCTGTCTTAAGAAACTGGTAAATATGAACATAATTCATTTATAAACTTACAACTTAACTAACTTACTTAGGCCTATAGTAAATTTATGAAGAAATGTTTTTTATAAACCAACATTTTTTACCGATTTCTTATATTTTTATTAAATCTGAAAGTTTGGTTAGTCAAAAACCAACCCTTATTCATCAAAATTTCTAGAAATAAAACATGATTCATCTTATTAATTTGGAAGAAGATACAATTCTTTTAGTCATCCACTAAGTTGATCCCAGGTATGGACCCAAGAGGTAACTGTAACCATAAGATATATTGTTTTGTAAATTCTTTAAGTTGTCTTATTCTGGTACTCGCCTTCAAAATTTTCCCACAACAAGAGTCTGGACCATCGATATATAACTACGACCGGACTCATAGCATTTTTAGTTTTATTGCTTGATATTGACTTAAGTTTATGTATTGTTTCTATGTTTTGTGGACGATACATTATTTGACTTGATTTCAAATCAAGAAAAAGGATACAATTTATCTATATGTAAACATGGAATTTTTCTAAGGGGCCTAGCTAACGTCTTGACCTGATAAGATCACACTGAACCCTCCTTAACCAGGGAGGGTTAATAGTTGACATTGAAAAAAAAAACAGAAACAACTAAAACCACAACACGCCTATTCCTAGAAATGATACACTAGAGACTGACCAGAGTGAGAGAGAAAGAGGTAAACAGACGGTGGTAGATAATAGATTCTAATTAAGGGAGGGGCGTCTAGACGTGAACCGTGGGCGGGGGGGAGGGGGCGGCACGTGTTTGACACATTTACACACGCACACGTCTTATCATCTTATCAGTCCGTGGTCCGAGCGTTATACTGTAATAACTGTCCGATTAATTAATTAACGGACAACTGATTTCAAATAAGATAATCCTGGCAGTGTTATCAGACTAACTATAGAATGTATTCTAAAGCCACTGGTCTAGATGGTCCTAATTTTTAAGTTCCTGTGACCATTAATGAGACTAAATTAATGTTGATTATGTTTGAACATGGAGGATTTGATTGTTGTGTTGTCTAAAAACTGTATTCAGTGCTAATCAATCAAGTTAAAGATCACCATATCAGAAATTAATGTCATCAGCCTACGAGAAACCAAAAGTCAAAGAAAAATAACGTCCAAGAATACAATATGAACGATAAATATACAACATCTAGATATAATATTAAAAATATTACTTGACATTTTCGGAATAAAAATATTGTGTCCTTAAGGTAAGGAAATGTCTATTGTATTTTTCACATTATCGAATTCGGGACAATCAAATAATTGCCATATCACACAATGGAAATATTATAGCATACAGAGATCTTAATTCAGTATACACAATTAGAGCTTATTTTTTACAAATAACATGAACATTGAACAACTATCAAAATTGATAGCAAATTAATTTCAATTAGTAAACTTGCACTATATCAAACGCCTTTTACAAAACGCAAAAAATTCAAACTTAACGCACAATGCTTATACACTTATACACACAAAGAGAAGGTAATAAAATGCATGCATATATACAGTATATGTAATCAAATTTGTTGGGCAAATTTAACTACAATAATACCATATAAAATAATTTGTAATGTCTTGAATTGGGATAGTAAAACCCACCAAACTTGGTCTGCAACTCCGCATATGACCTTTACAATGGTCTCCACGGACTGTCCTTTACAGGATGGGGTAAAACAGTCAATTTGTTACAAAAAGGGCACGGCCGGGGGCCCCCCCCCCCCAGACACGCACGCAGTCCTGGTATTGATTTATAACACGCTACACGTCCGACACGGCACGCCTTAACACTGTGGTTAACTATTGTGGACAATTAAATACAATTTTGTCTATACTGTATACAAACGTCCTACTCGTGTTAGTTACAAGAATAAATAGTACAGAATAGAGTGAAATTAATTTAATTTATAAGACGTAAGACGACTGCAATTTTATGGGTTTTTTGTTGAATGATTGAAGATCGGTTTATGACAGTTTATGGCAACCATAACTTTATATTCCAGGTTTAACACGGTTCTATAGCTAGGGGTAGGGATACTAAACAGTCGTTGACATCTGCGAAGTTGAGTTATTGTTCTAGACGTTCAACTCTTATTTGACAAATTTCTTTGAAATCAATTAAACAATGGCAAATGGATGACTTATTCACGATCGTGTGTATAATGGTTTATTATATTGGTGTTTAACTAGATTAGATGATCAATATGCAAAAATTCCAGGTTACATTAGGCTGTGAAATTCG